GAAGTCCTGGAAGGGCTTGTCTTTAAAGAAGACTTTGGTTTCCTCCTTGGCTAGCTGCATGATGTTCTCATAGTCTTTTGCAGTAGCTGCTTTGCATTTGCTGACCAAGTCAGAGCTCATGAAAGGCAGATAGCTTTTGGCGCCTTCCTTAAGAAAATTGGTGACAATATTCTCCAGGCTACTGCTCTTGAGATTGTCCTCTGCCAACTCCCAGTTTGACACCTCATCCAGGAAGTCCCTAGCTACCAAATATTCTGGCACTGTCTCTAAGAAGTCTCTGAAGAATTTCTTGCCAATGGGCTGCTGTTCACAGATGCTGTCATAATCACCAGCAACGGACTCTCTATGCTCTTTGCAGTCCTCAATCTTGGGCAGCGAGAGGCTCTTACGCCTCTTTTGCATTTCCTTGGTGTCTCCTTCTCCACTCTTCCTTGCCTGGAGGTAGGCAGTGTTGGCAATCAGGTTGTCGAGCCCCCCCATGTCACACATCTTGGCAAGCCCTTGGGGTGGCAGAGCCTGGTTCAGACAAAATGAGTAACTGGCCCAGGAGCTGTGCTGTAGCTGCACTGCACTTCTCTCTGTTGTGGTGTGTGAGGGTTTTTGAAAAACAACAGGGAAACTAACTGCTTTTGCATTAAATACCTCTCAAGGATTTTCACTAAGTACCTTTAGGTATAGGCACCATTTGTGGAAAGTGACTGGTAAGAGGTTTCTCTGTAAGAAGCTTTGAGTTTGCTATGTATAGCTGAGGGATGACACCCTAGGCAAACCTTCCCACTGGCAGTACCAAACGCACATGGTTCAGCTGGTGTTTTTCAGAATGGGCCCTGATAACCTTTAAATGTGCCAAGATTCCCTCTGCATGCACTGTCCCTGGCTGCTGGGAACATGCAGAGATTGATGGCTGCAATACATGCAGTCTCTCCAACTCAGGGCACTTTGGCCACAGTCAGCAGGACAGGCCTGGATCTCCCCCGGTTGACATGGAACACCAGCAGACTAACAACTGGTTTTATGAAAAGCTTTTATCACAAATCTGCCATCTCTAAAAAACCTTGACATAGATGAACCACAAAATTCAGTGCTTTGAGCATTCACACCTCCGAAGCTCAAGTTATATTCAACACCAGTGACTGAGCCCGACAGACAGTTCATGCAAACCCTGCTGCCTCGCGTGGCTCTGTCTGAGCAGATTACATGCAGAGGCTAAGAACTGCCACTGGTCTAAAAATAATGATCCTTATATATGAAACAACACAGCTCTGACTTCATCTCCTACCCACAGAAAAAAGAAAACCACTTCAAATGAACAGCCAAATCTTGCCAAGACACTTCCATATGTTGTTTTGGCCTCAGTTTATTTTCCCTGCTGAGCTTTATGACAGAAATTGGTTGGATAAGAAGGTGGCAACAGCATATAGCTGAGGTGACATCAACAAAGGGACAAAGCTGATTATAATCAATTGAAGGCAAATTCCACCTGCAATTGCTGGCTGCATACCAGGAGGCATTTTTTTTCCCTTCAAAAGAATAAAAATTATGTGTGGCACTCACTAGGCTAAGCCCCCTTCTGCTGTAGAGTCAGGTGGTTTGGCTGTTAAAACTTTCCTTAAATATAAGGAAGGCATTATGAGAACAAGAAAAGAAGTAACACTGGGGTCAAGCTGTACTCTTGAGGTCAAGGTCAAGTTTCTTTTTTTACAATCTTAGAGCAAGCTGAAGAGCTGAATCACAAAAACTAAACATCAAAAGTAATAACAGGCACCTTTCAGACTCCCTATAATAAGTGTTAAGCCCTTCTTGGCTGCTTTTTGCCACTCTACAACCATGCAGTGTTTTGTTTTTACATGCTTAATCCTGTCTGCATTGAATCCATTTGACATAAAACTCATACTTGCACTCTACAAAATTCCCTTGGAGGTGTGTTTTTCTAGGAGTGATGGAGAGGGCCATCCACTGCAAACTGCTGTGTGTGCACGAGAACGGGGGAATTGTAAGGCAGACACTTGAAAGCCTGGCCAGTTCTGCCAGGTGAGAGCAAGCCCAGGGTGGGAGGTTATGTAAAGGGCTCAACAGAGCAGCCAACAGCGTGGGCAACACTGCAAAGAGCCAACGGGAGAAATGGGGAATTCTGCTGGGGGCTGTCCTGAAAATGGGGCCTACAGCAACACATTCCTATAATACCCTGGGTAGAGAAAGGCATGAAAGGAGGTAACAAAGCTTTAATTGCAGCTTTTTTTTTAAATAAGGCTTTTCATTTCCTAAAATTCAGTAGGGTCTTTTTTTATGTTTGGCCAGAATATCCACCACAGCTCAAAGAGCAGCAGGACAAATGGCTGGTAGCTGGGGCCCTAAGGCTGAACTCAAGCTTATTCCAGCTATTGGTATATTCATGCCTAAGCAAATCAAGAAAATTCCTAATGTTTATGGCACCTGCATAAGACAGACACATTTACAGCTCCAAAGATCATTCTATTCAATTAATTAGAATATTTCTGTTTCTATGGAACATAAATTTTCTCTAAAATAACATAACTTCATTACAAGCAAAATCAAATATGATCACTCAACATATACTCATTACTCCAGTCACTTTTGAGATTTGCTGGCTGACTTATCCAAATCTGCTCAGCGTTTAATAAACACTGGAGAAAAGCAGATCAGCATTAATCTATCAGTTGATAATGGCTATTTAAGGTAGTGTTACCTGCTCATGAAACAGTACATTTGGGTGAGAAGCAAAAATCATTTATTTTTCATGTACAGGAGGTGAAAAATAACAGAACTGAAAAGGGGGATGTACTGGCATGTACTAACAACCATGCTAATCAGGCATATCAGGGTATGATTTGGAGAAGTTCTCTGGTGTAGACTCACAGAAAGACTGGGACTTACGCTACTCTCTAAATCACAGAGAAAATATGCAGGACTTAAAATTCATTACCTTATGTTCTAGATGAACCCAATTACTGGTCAACAAGATACTTATAATATGCAAATAGAGACACAATAATATCAGCTGCTTTGATTTCAACATTAATTTTCCTAATACCTCATTTGTGTCAACACCCCTTTGAGCTGACACTTCAGAAAAACTCTTCCACAACTGTAATTCTCGTCTACTCTTGCCATGCACGTGACATGAGCTGAAAGCAGGGTTTGATACTTTCCACATTCACCTACAAACCAAAGAAAAATGAAAAAAGTGCTCTGATGGGACTAGATGGCATTACCAGAGGTCACAGGATGGAGCCTCTGTCCAAATGTGACAGAGAAAACAGGTGGTAGGTAAGATACAGTTTGACTGTGACAGCTAAAATTTATTTTCATGTCCACTCAGATTTCTTTTTTTTCCAAGAATTTTGGGAATACTTTTACACAAACAGAAATACTCCACAACAATGTAAATGCTAGAGGCACTTTGTTACTACTGTTAACATATTTTACATTTGTTCTGAGTTTTAAGACAGACATGATCTGGCATAATAACAACTGATGTGATACACTAACAGTAACTCAGAATTTTTTTATCTCAGTGTGTAATTAAACAAAAGCTACATTTAAAAAAACAAAACATCTTAAAACCAAGATTACAATATTAAACAAAAGCACAGTAAACTCTGCAATATGCTTGATGACACAAAGATTGGAAATACTTTATACAGTGAAGATAAACCTCTTTAAATGTACTCAGAATTAGACAGAAATACATCTACTGAGAAACACATAAAACATTAAAGATGATAATTTTGAAGTAAACAATGTATAATATATTGCTTCAATTTCACCCATATTGATTGACCATTTTATTAGGCCTGAATTCATTACAGATTGAAAGCAATAATTCTACCTCTCTGTTACATATATATTTAAAAATTCCACAGAATATGTTCAGATTCATAATCATCTGGATATTTAGGGAAAAGACAAAGTTAGAGGCAAGCACTTAAACAGCTGTAAGAAAAAAATCAAAGAAGATTATATATTCAGGATTTCCACAAAAAATGCTTCCAAAACACTATGACCAATAAAAATACAGAAATTTCTATTAACTGAATTTTCATGAAATCACAATTTACCATTTTCCCCTAGATTTAATTAGTGCCTCCTTTTCTTGGGTTATTTAAATTATCACTTTTGTTTGCTTCCTATATTAATCAGCTAACCAGCATGATTGTCTACACCTCTAGTTAACTGATTATCAAATACATGTCTTTCTACAAAAAACCTTTGGATTAAAAATACATGTCTCCATGATCACTAACAGAAATACAAATAAAAAAAGTTATTAACATAGTTAAATTTTAATGTTATGGTTGTAGAAACCACGTATAGAATATAACAGAGCAACAGATTTAGAGACACAAGAAAACAAAAGTCATAAAGAAAACCTAAATTAGAAATGTTTAATGCAGTGTGATGGAAAGAGCACATAGCAAATATTTTACACACTGTTAATTTTAGATTAAAACTCAGAATAGTTTCTTAAAAAACACACTTGACTGTGTTTTTTGCATACAATAGTACTTAGGAAACATTTTCTTTATCCTGGCAGTAAACTATGCAGTGTATCAGATCAGGTAAGGTGACCCTTTCAATTGAATTCATTTATCAATGGAAAAAGATTAAATGCTCTGGGTTTAGGGTATAATCTGCACCACTAAGTTTCTATGCTCTGATCCAAACAACACTCTGATCATAGCAGATACATTTGCTGAAGTAGCATCTTCTGTTTGAGTTGTGGAACCCCTGCAGTGAGCCTGACCATGGACTGACTGCACCTTGAGCAGCCAGAGGCCTGCACCAAACCCACTCTGGTCTTGGAGCAGGTAAACCAAGTGAGTCATGTCCTGATGGACACGTTCTGTTCTGCATGAGCATAGGGCATAACACACACACCATTCCAAAAAGTGCAACAGAAAGAAATCCTTCCAGTTTTTATTTGCCTATTCTCTGGACTACCCAGTCCTGCTGGCAGAGGGGACAGCGATTATTCTGTTTCACCCACAAGGACATGCAGCAATTGTGGAAGGAATGATTGCACTCTCCCCAAACCACTGAAAGAGAAGAAAGAACATGTTCCAGTCACACTCAGCTGTTCAATCAACTGCTATAGCAAGGTTCAAACTATCACTCTCAAATATTTATAACCACTGCAAACTTCAGACAAAACAGGTCATCACTGATTTATCCACTGAGATTGAATTATTATGATCATCCTGATGATAGTGAGTTCCACCATCAAGCTTTTTACTTCCTTCCTAATATTAAAAAAGAAATGCATATATTCTTATTTTCTTGTATAAAGTGATTGTATAAACACATTTAGGGATGTGTTCAGCCCAGGAAATAAGTGCAACTATTAAAGTTTTTCCCTTTATCGTTCCCAGTACCAAAATAAAGCCAATGCAGTACTGATTCACTATCACTCCAGAGGCACTGCTTGAACTGAAATGTATGATAGCAAGGAGGCACATGTGACACAGTACATAGTCTCAAAATGGGACTTTACAACAGGAGTTATTCGCAGGCTAGTTGTTCTAACACTACAAAAATTGTTATCTGTTATCCATTTACTCCTGAATAGTATTTCAAATCTTTGCTTTTTTTCCTTATTAGCTCACATTCTCCTCACAAGACCACAAGGGTACCAGTCAAAGGAGTGCTGTAAATTATACTTTTTCCTGTCTATCTTAAATACTTAGCAAGCCAGTTAGGGTATCTTGAACAGGAAAACCCTATTCCCATTAAAGCAATCATCAAAAAACCCCAGCGGTTTTTTTGAGACAATACGCTTCAAAACACAAATCTCAACAGCATGCAAAGGTTTACCACTGCTTTAAAAGTTGTCATAAAGGTTTAAAGCAAATTATTTGAGATAATGTTCACTATTTCCAATTTTAACACTCAGAATTAAGACCTTCTTTTGCATACACTGGCGCTGAAAGAATGATTATGTTTAAACTGGAAGTGATTCCACCTTTGAAAATGAAAAGTGAACAACCAACCCATTGCCTCCATTATCTCTGAATTAAGAGTGGGAAAAATACCACTTTCTAACTCAGACACACATTTATTTCAGAACAGAGGATTTTTTACTTGTACTACCATTGTGCTTTCCGGCATGCACCTCTGAAGAAAAAAGCAGCTTTTTCCTACCCACTTCAAAAAGGTACATTATGACCTCAAATATGCTCACAATGAAAGCGACCTAAACCTCTTAGTTGTGTACGTGTTGACAGGAAATTGGAAGCTGTTTTGTTTTACAGCACAGCTGACATGAAACCTGATTTTTTTTATTGCTCAAAAATAAAGCATAAAGTATTACTAATGTAGAAAGATGATACTATGTAGAACAAAACACCAGTTTACTTCTGAGCATTAATAAAATCAGTATTCCCTTCAAACTTTAAAATGCACCATACTGAGAGAAGCTTCAATTGAAAAACAAGCGAATGAAGTCACTACATACCAACACAATCTTCTTGTTTGTTTTCAGCTTGACATCTAAGACAGGCATCTAAAAGTAAACAAGAACAAACTCAATTTGATTCTCAGGATTCCATCTTAAGAATAGGTTTGTCAGAGGAAAATATAAACTCTAATACAAATTTACAGAGGTAAAAATCTCAAGTTTTGATCTAGTTCAGCCCTTGAACATTAAATAGCCCCCTCAAATTCTAAAACTGTGCAAATGACAATGAAACATATATCTGAAAGAGATCAGAAGGACTCTGAACTCTCCAGCATGTTTTGTTTATTTTCCATTGCTTTGGTATTTTCATAACTTTTGCTGAAAAAAAGCCTTCTCCATTTTGTAGATATAAAAGCCCGCAGATTTGTGCCAAGGCACTCAGGCATATTAAGACCAGAGCAAGCACAAAGCCAAACCCTAATTACAGGACTTTGTTTTTCAGATGTCAGCATTTCCTTTTAAGGAAGTCATTCACAATTTTGATTTTTTAGGCTGTGCATCTTTCACCACAACTCCCACCACCTATTACTTTTTATAGTGGCTTCCCTTAACAAGTACTTGCATCTTTTTTTCATAGGAGTCACACACATACAAATATAGTGGTACATTTGATAATAAATGTTAATAAATACAGAATATATAATTAAAAATATTTATCATCTTTATGCACTCCAGTCTGCAGCTTTAGGATTGGATGGCAGCTCCAGGACTCAATAAGATACAAGAGTGACAACTTCCAGGCTTCCCACTGTGCCACACAATACAGTGGAAAACACCTTTGCTTCTCCTTTACCCCAACATGGGCTGCCACAGACACTCATGCATGAATCTTGCACAACAGAAAGTGTTCAACTGTTATGTGAGCAAACACATCTTCATCTCCTCCAAAGAAAACAAACTAGTTTAAACAAGTGTCCTGCAGGTTGAATCTGGCTTACATGTCACTGGTTGGACCAAATTCTCCCAGAAGACAAAACTATAATGTGCTACAGGAATTTAGATTTGACTACTTCTGCAGTCTCTGCCAGATAGGGCCAGTATTTCTATTTTAGATTGATCTTCCCAGACATTCCTGCTTTTCTCAGGTAATAGAGAACAAAGAGGAGAGAACTCTAAAACAGCTGCCCTTTCTTCACTGAGATAAAAGCAAAACTTTCCTGTTGTCTGTCCCTGTAATTTATATTTCAACATCAGTTAAGGGCCAAGGGGCTGGGAAGATTCAGCCGAAGTGCTTCAACTTGTATCATGGTGTGTGGGAGCCCACTGAACTGGGGTCGCAGCAGAAAGTCACAATAAATCAGCTCCCCTAATGAGCCCTAGAGCTGCAGTTTCAGACAGAAGCAGCACAGAGAGCCAAGGACAGAAATCACTGCCACCACACCAAAGTAACCTGTCTCCACTCCTGCATGCTAACCCCAAGGGGGTCAGACTGAAAGGCTAAGGACAGCAAAGCCAGTCCAGCTGCAATCCTGCGCTTCCCAGCTAACACCTGCATTTTTGTCTCCTTCCCTTGTGCATCTAAGACCACACTGGTTGAAGGAGTTAAACCAGCAGAAAATGGAGCCAGCTAACACCTCCTTCCCTGCAAAAGTCAAACTAATCTTCAACAAGTGCCAGTCTGAGTCAGGCACTGCCTCCCACCTAAGGTTACTGCAGACGCAGTGGCTCTACAGGAGCCAGACCCGCTCTGGCAGGGTCAACGCGAAATTGCTAAACTGAAGTCAGTAATGATCAAGTTTCACATTGCAACAATGTGGTTTGTTCCCAACAAACGGTTACTAGATTTTTTCAGATTTTTTTTTCCTAGTTTCAGATTAAAAGTATTCCCTTGTTCTAGCTATGAAAAAATGTGACTTTCTTTTTAAGTTTTATAATAGCTCTGGGTAAGATTTTGTTAATTTAAGACTTTTTTTTAGAGTCGTGTAACAGCCTAGCTTATAATGGGGATAAATACATTTTGAAAATTATCATTTATATGGCAAATGAAGCCAATTTCATATTTCCAGAAAGGTCTCTGTTTACCATAAAAAAGCAAATAATCTTCAAAACATGCTTATGTAAAAGAAAGATCAATTTCCCATCACTTCAGCCTGTGCTTCACCTTTTTTCCTCTTGTACACCCTTTTGCAAAAACATTTATGAGGAGTGACAGAATTGTATATGTTTCCTCATTTCTGTTAAACCAAATCCTAACTCCATTTTCAGTATCATGGTTCCTGGCCCTACGAAAGCAAGGTGCAGTGGAGGGGATCTTGGGTCCTTTGTCCTGCCGAAGCGTTGCACACCCAACTGAGAGGACAGCTACACCTAGGACGACTCAGCCCAATGGTAAAAATTGGGTATGAACGCACAGTAAAGGAAGAACTTAAACAGGTTTAGAAGAACCAAGATAAATACCACATTTAACTAAGATGTCAGAAAGAGTAATATGAGTCAACAATGAAGGGGCTTTCAAACAGTCTCTGGATTTCAAAACCAAGTAAATTAATTACTCAACAGATTTCTCACTACATTTGTGTGTGTTTAACTGCACCAGTAATCACGCTTGTAAAGTAGTGTAAGACACCCTGGTTTAACAGATTTGAAAAATGAATTTTTGTGTACATCCGTAAATGCTCCGTAAAAAAAAAACCCGAACAAAAACCCCTTAACAAAACCCACCCCATGAACAGCAGCCCCACGCATGCAGCACTCGGTTGAGCTCGGTAAATTAGTGTTTGCGGGATTTGCCCGCAGACGAGCCCCAGCCCTCACGACGAAGGCGGCACTGCACGGGACGGGGACCCGAGCAGCGCGGCGGGGCCCAGGCCCGCGTGAGGCGCGGCCGGGCAGGGGGCACTCGATGCCCGATGGGGCCGCGTGTGGCCCCTGGAGCGACGGCCCGGCCCCCGCGGGGCCCTCCTCCTAATCCTCCTCCTCCTCCGGGAAGGCGCGGAGGAGGAAGCGGAGGCGGGAGGGATCAGCCCCCCCGTCTGCCGGAAACCGCGTCTCTGCCCTGCGCCCGCCGTGCCCAGGGCGGCGGGCACGGCCCCAGGCCCGGCCCAGGCCCCCCGCCCCGCGGCCATAGCGCCCGGCCGCCGCTTACCCATGACCTGCACCCGGCAAATGGCGCAGGTGTCGCACTCCACGTCCCAGCTCCACATGGCCACCGCATTCCACTTCTTCAGCGAGAACATCTTGTCGGGGGCGCCCGCCTTGGAGCCCGCGGAGCCCGGCAGCGAGTGGGGGGCACCGGGCTCGTCCCCGTCCTCCACATCGGCCATGGCGGAGGGGCGGGGACGCGGCTGCCGCGCGGGCGGCAGCGCCACCCTCCGGCGGCGGCGGCGGCAGCGCAGCCCCGCCCGCGGCGCGGCAGCGGGACGGGCCCGGCGGCGGCGGCGGCGGCGGCAGCGCGGGGAGGGCCCGCGGGGCGAGGAGCCCCTGCCAGGAGACCCGCCGCGTTCAGAGCCTTCAAGCACCTCTTAGGCTTCAGCAGGACACCCAGCAGGTGCCAGGTTGGCATCTCTCGGGAAGGGTGTTCTCGTCCGCAGCGTGCAAGTGAATCAATCACAACTTCACCAGTGGTCCGGGCTGCCTTGAGGACGGGGAGACAACCCAATCTTCCAACTCAACACATTTCCTAAGACTGCTAACAGAATAAGCGAAACACTTCGGCAGTGGCGTGCACCTTGGCCATCTTGGTAATGAAGTAAAAAATAAAATTATATTAAAGATTCTATGCACATTACTCAGCTATCAATTCAGACCACCTTGAACACTATTAAAGAGCATGTGAATAAGGTCTTTGAGCTTGGCTGACTCACACTTCTCTCAATCCACACTGTTCAATTCCCTTCGCCAGCTCCACCCCTTTAACTCATCATTCTTTTCTGTCCATTTTAAAAACCATCATGGCACTTCTGAATTTTAATTACTGGGACTAGTTGTAATCCAGAAAGCTTAAAATATTAAAAAAAAAAAAAAGTTAAGTACTTTTTTTAATTTCTGCTACGTAAAATGTCAACTACCTCTATTTAGAGATTAAAAAAAAAAAGCCAATCCAGTTGGAGTTTTGGGGTTTTTAGATTGATACAATTTGCTTTGTGTCCCTAACTGATGCAATTCTTTAGTTCTAAGAGCAAACTGTGACATAGATTATAATAATGTTTGAGTGCTGTCAAACCATCACACATGTGCTGTACATGATGCAAAGTCAAATATAAACCTGAGATTAGTGTAAGTAGAGCAAATATGACACAGGCACCTTTGACTGTCCATATTGCCTTAGAGAAATAGTGATAGCTTCCCCACAAAAAATTATTTTCTTGCTATTTTATCAGCTAAAGAACTGTGTAAGAAAAATTCCAAGCCATTTTTGAGAAGTAGTTCTGGCAGTCTGTAATTAATCTGTCCCCTGCAGCCACACCTGACATTTAGGAGGTGACACATGGGAGAGTGGCACAAACCACAACAGCTCTTTCAGAGGGTTTTCCCTAGGTACACTGTCACTGATTTTAATTGTAAATAAAAGCCACATTTTTTCAGACTGGGCATTTGCTCATCTCATTCACTGAAAACATTCCAAATTGAGTATCTGAAAATGAGAACTCAAACCAAGTTCCTTTCAGCCCATCAAGGGATTGTTCAACTAGAATTAAAGCCAATTGTGTGCTACAGAATGGGAAAAAATAACGTTTGTAATATTAAGGAATTACAAAATATTGCTTTATATTACATAATCTATAATCAATTAAATTTCTGTCATAATTTCAAAGTAATGATGCAGTGTAATTCATCACTTCTGATTGTCTCCATGTAAAAAATACTCATTCAAAGCTCCAAGTTTGACACCCAACTTTGTACCTGCCCTAAGTGTTCTGTTCATAATCTTACTCCAATTTCAAATGGCCAGTTCTGGCCCCTCAGTTTGGGAAGGACCTTGAGACATTGGAGGACGTCCAGAGGAGGCAACGAGGCTGGAGAGAGGCTGGGAACACAAATCCTGTGAGGAACAACTGAGGAAGCTGGGGGTGTTTAGCCTGGAGAAAAGGAGACTCGGGTGACCTTACCACTCTCTACAACTCCCTGAAAGGTGGCTGTGCTCAGCTGGGGGTTGTTCTCTTGCTCCAGGCAGCAACTGACAGAATGAGAAGACACCAGTCTCAAGCTGCACCAAGGGAAATATAGGTTGGATATCAGGAAAAAGTTTTTACAGGAAGGGTGAAAAAGTTCTAGAATTGTCTGCCCAGGGAGGTGGTGGAGTCACCGTCCCTGGATGTGTTTAAAAAATGACTGGATGTGGCACTGGGTGCCATGGTTTAGTTGAGGTGTTAGGGCATGGGTTGGACTCTAAGATCTTGAGGGTCTCTTCCAACCTAGTGATTCTGTGAAAATTATTTTTATTAAAAACAAAGCCTTGACAAAAATGTCAGTTTTATGATAATGCAAAGAACAGTTATGTAAGTATGTGTTTATCTTGGCCAACTGGTGCATGTACTGGACTGCATTATCCCACTTAACTGTTTGTTCTGTCAATACATTAACATATATCAAAACACTTGGGGACCATCTCAATTTATCTGCTAAAGAAAACAATTTAAGCACACTTCTCTGTCAAAACTATTTCTTAAACTCTAGTTATCTGTGTCTCTCTGTGCCTCTTTCCCAATAGGAATATGCTACATGGGTCTATTAAAGGCCAGTAGGGCTGAGACTTGGCTACAGTGGGGCTGCAAGAGAAGATGGCACAGGGAACAGCGCTGCATGAGCACACCACCACCTGTGACAAACCCACCTGTAGCAGCTCCTAAGGGTTTACTGAAGCTGCCAGATGCAATTGCCAAAATGGAAAACAGACTCCAATGCTGATAGGTACTGTGCAACAGAAGCACGTAGAAGGCATGCAGAAATATAAAGGAAATCACAACAGGAATAAGGGAAACAATGTATTAGTGGAATAAACTGCTTCCATTTTGCACTGGGAGGATCTCACTGGATGGGAAGAAAACACGCAAATATATTGCTGCACAGCATAGCAAAGGGATCCCAATATTCCTATGAATCTATGTGATTGGGCATGAATTTCAGAAAAGTCCAGGAATGAGCTCAAAGACTGAGAAGTAGCAATAATTCCAATTCTTAAATGCATTGTGCTTTACTCTTCAAGTGAAACAAAAGAACATTCATGACTCATAATACACAGAAGGGAAATCCTTACAGAAGTTATTAAAAAACCAAAACCTTAATGACTTCTGCAAAGGAACCTCTCTGCTTTAATAGAAAACCCTGTGTCACAAGAGACTAAAGAGATCCTGATCTTACTGAGCTGCTTTAATCAAATCTAAACCCTTGGAACTTCTCCATTCTTCACACAACACCCTGGGTCATCCATCTCTCCTTCTGCAGCAGAGATTAAAAACCAGAGACACAAAGACCTCTGACTACTTTATGAAATTCTATACTGTGTTTTTGCTCACTAACTGTTTTACTCTGGAGTAAAACTCAGCTATTACTATTACCTCTGAACAGTGCTGATTTTCAGGTTAGATGTCTATCTCGTATCCATTCTTTAATTTAGAAAACCTGTGAAGATAAAATTTTGCCTATTTTAACTGTAGTTAGCTGTTTGAGAATGGAGCTGCATTCTGACCTGAAAACTGGAAACCAAATTATGTTGTTCTGTTGTTGTGCAGGGGCACAGCCCCCACCTATTTTAAAATATGGACACTTCATGTAAATTTGTGAGGTAGCACAGTCTGTCTTGTTATTTTTAACATCTCTCTGATATTTGGATCCTGCCCAGTATCAGGATATATTAATAACAATAAAATAACAAACCCTTATAAATGTCACACCGTGAAGAATGGAAGAACTCAACTGGAATATAAATGAACTACTCAGGAGGAAGCTAGATGAATTATTTTAGTTGTCACAGAAATCAGTGTTTGTTTTGTTTCAAAAAGTTCTATCTTTCCTCTTGGACTTTTCAAATTTGCATTGCTGTACAAAGCATAGTGCCTTCTGTTACCCAGTATGGAAGGAAGAGACTGAATTGTAGGTACTTCCCCTTCTTTCATTAAGTACTTTAAAGGTCTGTGGATGAAAGATGCAGCTAATTTTCAGGTCTGTACTACTGCATTACTATAGATCACTTGATTCTTAAAGGGGAGTCTCCTTCTTACTCATTTTGTCTCTGCTCCCTGCCTTTTCCAGGCTTGTTTCTGTGTCCCGGCGCGCAGAGCGCGAGGGCTGAGCTAAGCCCAGAGCTCCAGCTGAGCTCCCAGCAGCTGTGCAGTCAGCGACCCTCCGGAGCACTGCCTGGCTGCTGCCCCTGGAGCCTCTGCTCACACGCACACATCAGCCTCCCTCCCTGCCGCCGGACACACCGCGGTTTGCCACCACACAGCACGGGACATCCTGGATCTTTGGAGAAATCAGAGGGAGCGGGTAAGAGATTTTTACCTGTAAGCCTTGAATTCAAGTCACACAGTAGGTTTACTTTGGCTGTTCTATGATCCTCTCGGCTTTTTTTGCCTGTGTACGAGGAATGATCAAAAATAAAAGATGAAAGTGGGGAACAAATTCACAACCCCTTAAAGCAAACTAATTGTTTGGTCCGATTGTTTGGATTTAAAGTTTCTAAAATCTGTATAATGATTTACATGCTCTTTTTGGTGAAATTGTTAACTAGACTTCATACAACTGCCATGGCATTTGCAATAGTAATTATGCTAAAATAATGATGGGCTCAAACACTTAAAAATCTTGATCATACAAGATTTTCTATGGAAAATTGTATTAAGCAAGATAGCTGAATTTTGTTATTTACCATAAACATTTATTAATATAAAGAATATTTTTAAAGCATTTCAGCAAGGTCATATATTTGCTTTTACTAAAAAAAAATTCTTAAATATTCTTACCCTAAATATTCTTACCAAGAATACCTAATTAAAATTCTTAATTTCTGTATCTAACTAAATTCTTAAAAAGCACAGCCCTTCCTGAACATTGTCGCCACTGGATCTTTTAAAATCTTATTCTCATTGTAAAGCAACCAATTATCAACATTTTTGTCCCTGATTTAGGTACATAAAGTGCCTAAGTAATTTAGCTGAATTATAGGCTATATTCCCAACTCTTACAACTCAGCTCTTCAACTCTGAAATTAATTTTCTTTTTATCATTGTTTATTATGATGAATCCCAGGAATATACAAAATATTTCAACAGCAGTCTCATCACAGCTGGACACAGTATCACTGATACACTCTCCTTACTGCTATTAAAGAATTTCTGGTTTATTTAGTATGCATAAATCACATCAACCTTAGTTAAATATGCTTCTGTAAGTATTTCTAAGAACCTCAAGTAAATTGCATGCATTTCTCCATTCTACTAGAAGTTGCTTGTTACTGGGATCTTACTGGCCTGATTTAAATTTCTTGTGTATGCTCCTTTAAACACAACACAGGATCTGTCCTTATCAAGTGAGTAAACGTTGCAAACTTTGTCATACAGATGACCAGGAATTAAGATAATGCATTGTAAAACATTTAGCATACATTTATTAATAGAATAATTTATATTATTAAAGACCTCCAGCTCAACTGTTAACCCAACACTGCCAAGTGTACCACTAAACCATGTCCCTGAGTGGCACATGTACAGATCTGAAATGGGAATGCCCTTTTGGTGCCACAGGTTAGAGAAAACTCAGGTTTGTGGAATGGTTACAGAAGGCAGCATATTAGCAGAAAAAAGAAGGATCAATCTGCTGCAATCATTACAGAACACATGCAATTCTTTTTTTTTTTTAATGTTCACAGAAAAAAATTTCCTCCTGTACTTCCAACTTCATACTTATTTTCCTCTGCTTTCTAATCTCTGCAAATGAATGTAGTGACCATTCATACTGGGCCTTAATACATCCTACCTCAGATTAATCAAAATGAATTTCAAAATTGCTGGAAGGTTTGCACTGTAACTCCTGACAAAAGCTTCCATGCCAGCAACAAAGGACAACAGGTCAGTTCTCTGCACAAGGAAACAAAACACCTCAGGGCATTAAAAAGTACATGTACAAAACTTCCTTATAAAAAATGTCCAGAAGAACAGGAGAGAAGAGTGGGTGGCAAAAAATTGCCCAGATTACATAAAAAAAACCAGATTGAGAAAAGTAAACATCATTTTTTCCATATGCAATGTATTTTAAAGAGTTCTGACAAATTCCACAGCCTGTACTGGCACACAGCACAGATAACGGAATACAAATCAGTATAATAAGAAAAAAGAGATTCACCTAACCCTAACAACACAGTACCAGCTATCTTTCAACTCAGCAGACTAATCATTACAAACTTCTTAAACACTGTCAAATTCCCAAGGCTTCTCTGCCTGCTCTTACACTCAATGATGAACCAGCATTTATCTCCCCATCCACCAATTTGGAATGCAACAATGCTGCAGATGCCACATCCCCCAGGTCAGTTTTGGTGGGTTCTGCCCCCACCATCAGTCAGGTTTCTCTCTTTATACCCAAGTCCTGTATGTAACCTCCATTCACTCAGTTAAATGCTAACATTTTAAACAGCCAGGCCTCACAGGAAACACACAGCTTATCTCAGGTTTGTTGTAATTTATTTCTGAGTTATTCTCAAGCAACGTTACAAAACATTTTAATGTCTTGATAAGAAAATAAAATTTAAATAAAAATACATTCAACAATACATCATCATAAGAACATTAAAACTTTTACAATTCTAACAGAACTAATTACTGAATAACATCACTTTTCTAGACTAATCAAAATGAATGCAACTTTTATTATTAATCATCCTACTTGTACCTAATTAAATTCTAGAACATCTACTGTAGTTTAAAACATTATAAAATGAGAAATCAAATCTTAATGGTCACAAATATTCAATGGCCTTCTGGGTTTTTTTCTCAATATTCCAGTACCAAAGCAAAAAAAAAAAAAAAAAAGTGCATATTATAAAACCCCAACATTGTAAGAGTATACTACTCAATTTTTCAAAAATTTTACTTTGAAAACAACAGAAAATGGCTCCAAGGAAGAGGGTTTGCCACAGGGTTAATTCATATACAACAAAAACCTAATTCTGACACTCAACCACATTCAACTTTGTTTAATGGCAGTTTTTGATTAATGGCAATTAATCTTTACCTTTACCTTGGCAAAACACATTTATTTGCATTGCTGTATTCTCCCTCAGTTTTAACTGTTGGCAAATAAAAGTCCTGTTGAACACATCAAATGTGTAAAAAAGGAAAAGGCAAAACCAGCTGAGGTGATTGAATGATTGTGATGTTGCAGATCCTAGCACTGAACCCCAGATATTCTAAAATATCTTGGTATTAAACTGAAGTAATTTTAACGAGTTACATTCATTCCAAAGAAATTTCAATCTTGTCTTGCCACATTGCTTCCATTATAGAAAGCCTTCTTACAACAGTATAATAAATGTGTGGTAATTTCAACACCATACTGTTTCAAGCATTGTGGATTTCTAGTAAGTTACATTCCTAATTAATTTGGCCAAATCGTGATTGAAAAAACAAAACAAAACCAAAACTAAAAAAACACCCCACAAAACAACAAAAGACCCCACAGAAAATGCTTTAAAAATAAAAGTACCACATACAACTTTTATTAAAAATAATATTCCAAGGAGTACCATTGTATTTAATACTGATGAAGCAAAGTTGCCACAGTAATACCTTTGCTTCTTCCTGGTTATATACATATACTTTTTCTCAGCAGAAAACTAACTTCTCAGACAAAGTGAGCAAAAATTAATCTTACTGAAGTCAGGAATGCCAGTTTAAAATTGTGTTAAGTGGCAAATACGAATCCATGTAACTAAAGATACAAAAATATTCACTGAAGCATTGCTTAAAGACAAAACAGTGTTGATCATTCAACTGATCATAACAAGCAGATACTACAAAGTATCTAAAAATAATCTGGGATAGTCCAGATATCTAAAGTGCTTTGAGTGATTATAATAGAGATTATTTATTAGATTTGTAGTCAAAAGTTGAGCTGGACGTAGTTATTACTTTTTATAAAAAGAAGTTAAATCATACATGGGATGATGTTAATTGATCAGTACTTAACCACAATCTGTTCACACTTAAATTTTTCTATCTGTAGGCAAACCTATTTTAACAAGAATGTTACTACCCTGCATTTCTTTTTAGATTAAGTAAAAATATGTACCTTAAAAAATGCTAAAGAAAATAGATAGTGGTCTAATGTCACTCCATATATTACTCACTCCAAATGTAAACAAGAGGTACAACATAAGTTCCCTGATTTCTTCTTTAGTACTTAATAACACAACTAACACTGGTATTTGCTGTCCAGATTATTTGCAGCATACTGCATGGTTCTGTAGAACTTCAACTGTAGATAAATCAAGTCCTGACAACACCTAACACAAGGAAAAAATAAGTCAAATGTATCGAGTGTGAAGCTTCAGATCTTTTCCACATCACAAGACCTTGGGATTTCTATTTCGAGATCCGATTCAGCAGGGCAGGCACTCATGGTAAACTCATGCAAGTGTGCAGTGTATGTACTGAGATGTAATCCAACCAACAAATGCAGTGTGGATTTTCTTCCGTGAAAAAGCTTATTTGTTTAGAAAGTTCTTTCCAATAAGACAACAATGGCAAAACAACATTTAGATTTATTCACATCTGTCATTTCAAGAACCTGAAACTTCAAGTTCTTCAGCAAAATGAGAATAAACCTTAAAGACCGGATTTCCAAGAAGGTATTTTTCTCTTAAATATTAAATAGATTGTCAACACAACTAGCATTTACGTTCATTCTTAAATATTTTGCAAAAATGCATATAATGAATTAAAAAAATGAAAACAACCAAAAAACCAAAACACTCTAGAACATTTCCAGTTTCTTTTTTCATCCAAGTGGGCCAGTTTGTTTTGGTTAGGAAACCTTTCCAACAATCGGATTTTCTCTGCAAAAAACCAAAGTATTACATGTAAATACTTTTAGAGATTAACACTTGCTTTCTAGTTCTCCTCATGCAACTTTAATTTATCAAGCAAAAAACCCCATTTCTACCATTAATTGTGAAATTTAGTGATTTGCAAAATCTTCATTTATTTCACATGGGACTTCTAAATCACAGTCAATTTTTCTGAATAACTTGGATCAAACACTAACCTGAGCAAACCAAATCAGGGTTTGAGCTTTTCTTTTTTTCCTGGTCAATCAATCATTATTGATGCAAAGAAGAAATCTAAAAATTTGCTAGTGGTGTTCCAGAGGCATAAGCCAGGATTGAAGAGAATTAAAGAATGTGCTCTGGAACAACAATGTACTCCAAAGAACAGGTTTTTTACCTTCACAAGAAACAGTATTTATCATTGAGTATGGCAAGTGAAATACAAACAGTAAATATGCTACCTGAAAGATATGCTTCTGCAGTAAAACTTTGACAGTTTCATATAACTTGATACTTCAATTATTTAACCAAAGTTTTGAAAAAAAAAAAAAATTAGAAGGCAGGCATGCTGTTATGGATAAATTTTGTGTGCACTTCAAATGCTAAGTTGCAAGGAAACAAAAGAGTCACTGCACTCACTTACAGGAATCTCAACAGGAACAGATGAATCCACACCAGAAGAACTTGGATCTTCAACAACTGGTAAAAAGCTGCACTACTACAAATAATGTACCTTATTCTCTCCATGTCTGTGTTGTCTAATTCTACTTTCATTATCTCTACCCCAACAAGTCTGGCCTCACCCCCTGATTTATTTTCTTCAAACTACACATTTATCAATGTCAAAGTTACTTAAGATACTTACTCACTACCATATTTGGCACTAGATGATCTCTTCTTCTGGTATTTTTCATGTGATTCATTCAGCTTTTCTACTATGTCTATTATCTGCTGAAGTGTATGAAAAGTGGCTACAGAATCTTCTATGGTGAAATTAGAATAATCATCTGGTTCTTTCCGAGGACCTTGATAGACTGCTATACTTCCACAAGCCTCTGCAAAAAACCACAATCATCTCATTGAGAATTTCAACAATTAAAAAACAAATCTAACTCCCATGCAAATGGTAACTCCAACATTCTGAAATTTAAAGTTACTCTAGCTTATACATAAAATGGATTAAGATAAAAGCAGGAGGCAGTATTAATTAAATGTATTTACAATTCTATAGCTTATTTTCTGCTAGCTGTGTTCAGCACCTTGAGCATCCAGCTCTCTCCTCTTCACATTAAGAGAAGTTCAGTGCTTTCTCACAGCAAACCATGTCTAATATAATTCATCACATGGTAAGGAAAGGAACAACAAAGGCAGAAAAGCACCACTTACAGTTGCAGTTTAAACTATTAAAAATATTACACATATGGAAATTCCATCAGAACAATGCCTGATATCTATTGTAAAGAAATGCCAGGAGAACATCAGACACCAGGGCACTTAGAAGATAAAAATTCAATCTCTTTCTCTGCTTTCTATTATTTTCAGGTGAATCGTTAAATTCAGTTAATTGTTCAAATTATATTCTTGGCCTAGAGAATTAGAACTGAGTATCAGTGTAATTCTTAATTATCTTTTCAGTACCTTCCAACTTCTGTAGTTTAGACCTGTTGACAGTGAAAAGTGAGTAAATTCTTTCTGTCTCTCTGTCACCATCAATCTCAATTTGAGTATCAGCAGGAACATCTCTAAAAGGTGAACAAAGACAGGTAATCAATATCAGTAATTCTTGAAAGCAAGTAAAACCAGATTCTTTTTCATTATACATAGCCTTTTAATATGTTTGCCACTCATAGAGTTTCACGAAACTTAGTATGCAGTTTATATAACCTACCCAGTTAAGGATAAATTTATTTTTATAAGAATAACAGCATTTCTTTGTTTTCAGAAATCAGCACCTTCTAAAAAGACATTAAAGCATTTTAGGATGTTATTAATTTTTCTGACATACCTACAAAACCCAAATGATTTGTCAGAATGTACATACAAGATTATTTAGCTGACTTTCTTAGGGTACTCCTTTAAAATATGTAAAGTTCAAATCAAAAAGTGGTTGTATAAAACAAGACAAACTCATTAAGGACAAGTGGTTGTATAAAACAGGACAAACTCATTAAGGAGAGAAGACTTTCAGGCTCAACTTTCTGCAGCAAGTATTTTAATAATTTCACACAGATGATCTAGATGTGTCATATTTCTGCACTCAACCTGGCATCTGAATTAAACCTATTATTCTGCATGAAGAGACCTAAGAAACAGGATATTTGTGCTTTTCATGCTGAACAGGTTACCTCCACAGGGTGGCACACAAAGTAACAGAGAAATCCAGTACTTTGTGCCTGACCACTGTGGCTGAATTAGCAGGGAAAGCCTTGCTCCCCTGCGTGCAAGCCGCAGTGGCTCCACAGTCGCGGCCGTGCCCGCGGGCGCTTACGCGGTGCAGCGAGCGCAGCCCTCGGTGCTCTCGGCCGTGGCCTTGCAGCACAGCCAGCTCCCGTTCAGGAAGGCAGAGGGGTGGTAAAAGCTCAGCCTCTTCTGGTTGCACCTCGTTACCCGGCACAGAGCCTCTATCCACTCACTGGCTTCTACACAGTTATTTGCTTGGATGTAGAGTGGCTTTTCTCCATGAAGTACTTGAAACATCTGCAGAAGAAACATATTGCTCTGCTGAGTAAAAAAATCCAGTTACTGAGCAACTTCAAATATGTAAAAATAGATTTCAGTGCTCAGGCAATTCCACAAACTCTAAGACAGAAAGTGAGACTTTTTACCTCTTTCAACTATATAGAGGAGAAAAGCCCCAGCAGAACAGCTTCCTGTGTTCTCATCTAAGAAAGAACCCTTATAAATTAGAACAGGATGCAGCTTCTTTCCTCTTCATCCACATATCTTTAAGTGTGACCCCAGATTTCACAAAGCACGACCTTCATCCTTCAGCAACAGAAGATTCCCAGAAGTCTCTCCTTTAGCCATCACTGGCCTTAGTGACAGCTGTTCTGTTATCACTGCCTCAGATGTTTGGACTGATGTAAGAACAGAAATAACTGATGTGTTCCAGGGCCAGAATGAGGCCGTGAGCACAGACAGCTGTTTCAGCTGATGAAGGGATTGTAGGAAGTTCTCACCAAAAGGAACAAATACAGGTTTGGCAACAATACATTTCTAGTAGTACATAATATAATTTCAAGTGCTTTGCAATAATGTTGTAGTTTTAACCTTCATTCCAGAAATTTGGCATGGGGAGCAAAGTCAAAATCAGTCAGAAAACTTGGTGCAGGTAGCCACATTTCCAGGTTAATTTCCGTGTTCAGAATACTTGGAGATACTGCATACAGCTTATTATTCCTGATCCATGAAAGACGTTTTGCTAAAGTGTTTAGTAATGGGGTTTCATTAACTCTGTAAGCTAATTACAATTTTTTTTATTTAAAGAACATATCAAGAATTACATATAAACTATCTTTTGACCCACATTTTTCTTGTTGAAGGAGCTCTCATCAAGTTTCTCCACTGCAAGGATGTTTTTGATTGGAATAGTGAAAATTGGTTCTTTATCTGTAAAAAATAGTAAACAGAGGAGTGAAGCAATCTTTAAGAACTGTTGTATAATCTCAGGGCACTGACAGTGCAGTTCATGCTCTAAAAATATGCATTTTTATTATTGAAAAAATAGGCATGAATCTGACAGAAGCCTCTATTAATCAAGGCAAAAGTAACTAAGATAAATCATAGGTATTTTAGGAAAACAAATTATGCAAATTTAAAAGCACAAAAAAAGCTACAACAACGTAGACAATATTGAAAAATAAAAATAATTGTAAAATAAATATTATTTACCTTGCTGTTTGTGGTATGTGAATTCTCTACTTGTTAGACAGAACCATCGCTTCTTGAAATTCTTTTTACCGATCCGTGTCCTTCCCTGAGCTCTTTTGTACATTTCTCTGTAAAGACACAATCGAATGAAATCCGACCATTAGTCTTCAAAACCATTTATTGAGATAAGACATTATTGTTCATCATGTAACAATCTACTTCATTGTACATTAAAAAGAACCTACTACTTGTTCACAACAGATCCTCAAGATTACTTCCCAATATGGTGATTGTGAGCAGGGTTCCAAAACCAGGAAGGAGTTTGAAAAACACACAGTCCAGACCAGTGCTTGTAACAGTACATTTGGAGGGAATACGTAACTTGTTCAGATCAAGAATTCCAAATATTCACAAAAGGTAATAAGGTGTATCTAACTACAAGGTTCTCTCTTTCCTGCCACTTTTTCCATATAATTGTACATGGCCTTATCTGGATCAGACACTGAATAGCAATAAGATGACACTGGACATGGCTCAACAGCAAGGGCAGACAAACTGCATTTAGTACACTTTAAGTGTACTCACTGCTAACTCCTTTTGTTTTGAACAACAGTCATCAATTTATTACTATAACCAAGTGTTGATCTACTACAATTTCCTCCTTCATTTCTATTCAGTATCTTAGTAAGAGACATTTGTTTGAAATTTGGATGCCCATTTGATCTTTTCTTCTTATAAACTTGCTTCTCAAGTAAATTAAAATATTTTTCCCCTTGAATGTTGCTCAAATCATCACCTATTATCGATCATCATCAAGCAAAAGGCAGTTCATTTTTTAGGAAGAGTGACCTTCACTTCCATCTATATAACAGCATTCTGTCACTAAATGTTAAATATTTCAATAACAGGGTAGTTTTCTGTCTGCCTTTAAAGGCAGAACATTTAGCTGGTCAGGCTTATACAAGAGATAGAATAATTCTAAGTTAATAATGTTGTTTGAAAATACACTTTCACAATCCTCAAAAACCATCACAGAGCACACACTGAATTGTGACAGTAATGCACACAGTCTTCAATAGGTTTTCAGCTGCTTTTAATTACTTTTTAAAGCATTCAGAAGATGAGTTATGAAAATTTGCAGCTGTTCTTTTAAACTAATTCTACTTACTAAGAATTGTCTAAATTACAAATACAGTAATTTCTACAGCATATCAGACATTTTAGCAAGCATTAATCTGAAACTGGCATTAATGAAAAACGACTGAAGTCAATTCTGTTACAGACAATATAAATTCAAGATTTATTCACCCTTCTTTCAGATGTACTGGCTCGCTCACACCACTGGGCTCTTTACTCTCCGTAGAGGAAACATCATCCAGAAACTTAAGGAAAAAAACCACAGGGAGTATAAATATACAATATTCAGAAACACAAAACCCCCAAAAGCTATTTTTGAAAATAAAAATGTACAGTTTCTCCTTGAACAGGACAGTTATTTTATGCAAGTGATGAAAACACATGGCAGGGCCTTGGAGCACTGTAACAAGGGACGCCCAGAGGTCACACAAGCTTTCTTTAATGAGTTCCTAAGCAGCAGAGCCAATAAAAAGCTCTTTCAAAGAACGTACACTTTACTTTTTAAACTAATTTAGCTTAGTTCACTATGTGTAACTCTTGTGCATGGTTTTGCTATGTTGTTTTTTGTTTGGGTTTTTTTTTTTATGTCTGAAACATACCACAACTTTTCTTTTTCTCTCTAGTAGATAACTGACCACTAACACAACCTTATAATAATGAAGATTGATCAGCTACACCAACAATAAAAAACATACAGTTGAAAGGTACCTTTTTAACAGATTCAGTAAATTTTTCTTCTTGAAATGTTTTGAAAAACTCACACATAAATGTCTCCTTGAAACTTGACTGAAAGGAAAAGTATATTGACATAAATAAACTTTCATATGAACTTTCAATAAACAGAATGTTTGAAATGAGAAAGAATTTTAATAGTCTTACAAGTTTGCTCTTGGTCAAACTTCCCCAGCTCCCCAAAGTCTGGATGGCTTTTGATATAAGAGTTAATGTTCTAGAAGTCTGTGCATCCTAAAACAGTAAAACAAAATTCAAAAGTCATATGTTTTCACAGTTCTGCGTAGAACTGATTAAAAAATTTACATGTCAAGAAAGATATTATTTAAACATAATGTAGTAATTCTGGTACATCTTCGTTCCTTTTCTTTGCCCCAAAAGAACAAAAAATGCATATGAAATGTTATTTAGTTTATTAGCTCATGCATGGTGTTTAATATTCTAGTCACTATCACTAGAATTTAATATTAGTACTGGGGAAATATTTTTACCTATAAAACATTGGAAACTCTCAAATTCTGTAATCATTACTAAACATCTAACAAACCTCTGAATAATAAACATAATCAACTACTGCAGGACAAACGGCCTAAGTTTTCATAATAAAAAGTGAAATTTAAAACTTTGTCTTTAATGCTTTTACTTGATTTGTTTGCTACCTCACCGATTCCATTTTAATGCAGAATTATAAACAGAGCCTCCTGAAGTGGCCTTGCTGTTCCCTTTTAGATGTTTAACCCTCAAGTGTTGAAACCCTGTAATTTTTTTTTTTACTCAAAAAACTGGATAATGTCAAAGCAATGAATTTAAGTAAATGTACCTTTTTCTTTTGAAGGCACAACACACCTAAGTAAATAAAATAAGGTAATAATGATAACCTCTGGGGAAGCAGATCTCATACATTTTCTGTATTTAATGTGAAAAATAATACAGTTTTTTAAATCTTGGTATTTCTGTCTTTGAAATTGTTTTATACTGTGTATCTACTTCACAAACAAAACCAGAAAATTGTCAACCCATTGCAACTAGTGGAGTCCAGGACAAATACACCAACCAATTACTGGATAATGCTACATCCTCTGCTTAAGACCCACATAGCAATAAATGTCTGGATGTTTCATTTCCTTGGTGCAAAGAACCAAGGCAGTTTAGGCCTATACATTAAAGGACCCTCAGTCATGTTGTTATTTCACCCCAGAAGCACAATCTCAAGAAAAGCACAGCGTCTTTAATATTGAAAGCTCTTCCACATCATTTGAGAACACCCCATAAAGACTGAAATATCTAATGCTTAAAGAATTGCAAATATCGTATTTCCTTTGGGAACTGAACCTAGAGACATTTAGTAATCTGATTTCCCAGTTACTGATAGGACCTTATGCCTTCCCAAACCAACAGCTCCAACAGTATGAATAAAACAGAACAAAGCTTCACAAGACTTACTGGATGGTGAGGTCGTAAATGAAAAGTATGAGGTGAGACTACGGCTACAGCAAAGAAACGGAGAAACACAAAGCTGCTCACTGCAGAATACTGTACATGAGGGTCATCTGCAGAGAAAAACCATGAAATGTAACATGCACTGAACTTAACAGGAGATCATGAAGACAGTTAACATAAAAGTCCTTAAGAAGATAACATCAGAGGAGACATTAATATTTTAAAATAGAAAAATCAATGAAGCGCATGAAATGAGAAAGGTGGTCATGGTAAGAGATGTTCTCCTTACAGTGGAGTGTTTACTGCTAATTTATCTGAAAAGAAGTTCTATTCCCATACAACTGGCTCATCAGCTCCACTGGGGGAAATAATGAGATGATTGCAAGCATTTACATACACAGTTGATTAGGTCTGGCTGGATGCTGCACCCAGAGGCAAAACACTGCAGCAACTGCCTCTGAACTCTGGGGCTATTGCATTTATTCACCTGGAAAGCTACTCACTGATAATTCAAATACATTAATGCTGCATGACAAATACAGTCATCACATAGGAACAAATATAATGGTAATTCTGAGTTGCATCATAAACCCATGCTGTTATATAGTTTTGATGATGTAAATGAGAATTTTCTCATTAAATATTTTGTAAAAAAAAGTAAATATACTTTTATACTGGGAAATATAGTGAGGTCACATTCTTACTCTAATGACCACTTCAATCTGATCTGGTAAGTCACCTTTTCTGAAAGGACTGTCTAAACTAGAGCAATTTATGACTCAGTTTCAGTGACAAACATGAATCAGTGAAATGTTCCACATTATGAGGAGTATACTCTTCACCTGTAGCTTATTACAGGACATTTCAGATTTTAATTGACTGAAGTGTGAGTACTTCAGACACACTACATTACTCCTATATTAAATGCATTCTGAAAGAATAAAGCTATTTTAATACTGGTCATATTTACAAACCCAATAAATAATTTTTATTATCCACCCCCCTCAAAACTACCCATAACTAGTTTAGCTATAGCAGTACTAAAGCTAAATACACAGAAGTTATGAATGTGTTGGCCATCATTAACAGAGTGACAGTTCATGTAAAGACGCAAATGCTAAATTGATTTTCAAGTTCACATCTTGCTCCTTTAGAAGCAACAAACAGAACAGCTCTTAAAAATTTTGAGTATTTTTCAAATAAATCACTTCCTGTACTGCTTGTGCTTTTCTTCTATTATCTCGTACTCCTCTGATGACTTCTCATTTGCTGCTGTCTTGCAGTTTCTGACTTGCTATATTTTTGTATCAGAAAACAAAAAATGTCTCTTGACTGACTACAAAGTTTCACTATAACTTACAGCCTCACAGAAAAAGAAATGCCTGTCAAAGTTCAGGGCACAGCTTTGGACAAGACAAGAATTTTAACAATCCCTATAAGGTAACTGCAGAAGTTTTCAGTCTGAACACCACCTCCAGAAGTTCTTAGAGAACACTTACTTGGAAATCTTTTGGCAGCCAGATGCCTCAAAGAATAAAAAACATCACACATTAGTGTAGGACAACTTATACTCGACCGCACTATTTCACGGAACACTTTGTCCACATAGTATCGGAGATTTTCCTGCAATTATGAAAAAAGATATTTTTTAAGACATGAACACTCATATTTCTCCTTTTCAGACATGAACATTCATATTTCTCCTTTTCTTTTCCCTGGGCACAAACATAACACTGTCTGATTATTCAATACTGAATTCTAGTACAGTGCGTATTTTAAAAGGCTCATAATGTTTATATGGCATTACTACTATTAAAAGGTAGTTTAATGATATTTATCTAAAGTATATAACCAGTTTCTAGCAATATAAACTACCTATCAATACCTGGTTTTGTCGTTTGACAACAAGGAAGGAACATTTCCCATGTATATCAAGTGAACGTTAATTTTATTGCAGCAACTGTTGCCTTAAACAACAGCATACTCTGCTAAGAGGGAAGCAGCCAGCAAAACTTCAATGAAAAATGCTAGAGCAGTTCACATCAATCTAGATGCTAAGTATAGAACAGGAATCAAAACACCCAAAAAACTGATAAGAATGACTGCCATCTTTAGCTCCTCCTCTCTGTCCCATTTTCCACTGGACTTTTCCATTGCTGTCTTCATAAAGAGGAGTAAGAAAATACAGCTTTTTCTTTGTTTACTCTGAAAACAGAGTTATACTGCTACTATGAGTTACTCATTTCCCATTACAAAGAGCTGCTTTTAAAAATGCTTCTTTCAGATTTTGAGACCAGTTGGGAAACTCACCATATTAATTTCCACATTATCCCCTTCTCTTAATTTGATGGGATCTATTTCACAGGGTTTAGGAGACTCACATATCTGCAAGAAACAAACAAAACTATAGGACAAATTTTCAGACAAAGTATTGAAATGCACCGATTAAAAAACAGTTCCCTATATTTACAAATAAAATTCTAAATAGGTCCTAACCATCTTTAACAACATGCAATGATCATCCTCACTTTTGTTTGTGCCTTTCCAAATGGATTGATTACATAAAGCATCACATGGGCAAATTCTGCAATGTGCTGGAGGCTGCAACAACTTTCATTGACAGTTTATTTCGAAGCATCTGGAACATAAATAACAAAACACAGCTCCTCCCACTAAACTTAAGCAATTGTTGCTCAATTAATTTTTCCTCTAGGATTCCCCTACCTGAGTGATTCCTACCACAGAGCTGAAACAAGAATGTCTATCCAACAGAGAAGGACACCACAGGGGGCTGAGCTTCCCCGAAGAAGTTTCAGCAGGATAACATACCTCATCAATTACAGGTTTCAAAGTAACCTTTAGGTAGTGCTTCCCCACTATTTTCATCATTTCATCCACACACCGAGTTGCTAATGAGTTGCCTCTGAAGATTGTGTTTGCTTCTCTGCAAGAAAAGAAATTATTTTATTTGAATAGGGAAACAACAAGTTCAGTTACAAAATTCAATTTATACTCTATCTTGCTATTAAATATTGAAAAAAATACTTGTAATACATTTTAATCAGGAATTCCAATGGCACTGAGTAACAAAAAGAGTATAAACAAGAATATTATTACAGCAATTACCAAACCCAGGAACATAAATAAAACCATAAGAAAAAGCCTAAGAAATTTTACACAATTAAAGTTATAGTGCAGTGTGGAACATGAGAAATAACAACTGGAGAAAATTCCAAAATAATGAAAATTGTACCTCAGCAATATACAATTCCTCCTGCAGCAGTCATGGTGAAAAAACCTGGAGCTATAGCACACTGCTACACTACATCAATAAACCCAGACACTTAAACCAAAAGATAATTTAATCCAAGGTTATATTTTTATTCATTATAGCTGTTGAAGAAAACTGACAGCCAGCTGTGCAAAGTGTATCTTTCTAATCTGAGAGATTTAGTTTAAGCTGCCTTTGTTACAGTTCAATTACAATGGAATGTGTGCACTAAAATGCAGTTTAGAAAATTATTCTCTATGAGTCACCTCTTTCTACACAGTTAAGCTGACTCACATTGTTTAAATCAAGACTAAGTGCTTTGAAATGAACTGTCCTGTGGTGACAAAATCCCTCCCACACCTCCACTGGACAGGACCTGGCAGTGAAGTGGTTGCTACTCACATCTGCCTTATTTCTCTCCTAACCACAGAGCTGCAAATTCACAGACAATATGCTGCTACTTGGAAAAACTCCTGCGCTTCCTACTTGCAAGGCATGCAGGCCACATTCTTAATTACATGGCATCTTTGCAGAAAAAGAGTAGCCTTCATTTAAGGCACATGTTGAAGGAAACAGGGTAAGATTTTCAGCAATTTCAAGACGTTCCATCTAAGTTTATAAGTTTCAATACAATAAACAGTAATATTTGAAGAGTGGCCAAATAAAGACATTTAAAATAAAAACTATGCACTCTAAGACAAAGTTTTGCCAATCTGCCCCGCACCCTTGACTCTGACTCGCAGCTTCAAAATTATTTGAATGAATGTTTTTAAAAATTAGCATTAAAAGATGAACATACTTAGTCAGTTTTACGTAAGAGAAGGAAACCAAAAGGCTTAATTATCAGTGCTGTATCATGAAGCTCTAAGATTAATTTTAGAAAGCATGACAGCAATAAACATGAAATACATACTGGGTGTCCCTCAGATCTAGTTCTGCCACTGCTGCAACAAAGGGAACCAGCTTCTGGTGGTGCAGCAGCAGCCGTACCAGAGGCAGCACAGCATCGTACTTGTCTCGACACACTTCACTCAGAATGTAGGCAGCAGATGCAGAAATAGGCTGTGAGAAAGCAGAATACAAAATCTGAGTAAAGGAGTTAAATATTCTTTGTGTATTTGAAAAAGTACAGATCAAATCTAATGACATAGTTTGTTAACAGAAAGTTTCAATATTTGCTGTGTAACATGGCAATTAAAAGCTTTCATTCCAGAAATACTTGTTTGAAAATTATTATCTACTCTATAAATACATTTAAGAATGCAATTCAGTAGCTACTCATCCTACTCATTCTCCCTAAAGGTTACACTATGGCTTTGTCACAAACCCAAGTTAGAGACAAAAAGCAGTTGTTTTACTACAATGTCATGTATCTTTATAGGACTTTTAAAACCACAATTAGGGGACAATAAAATAAAGTTCTCACCCACCCTTCTGAAGTGTTTGCTGCCACTGTACGGTTGGGAATTTCAACACAAAAACTAAATTATTTCAGTAGAAAAGACCACTGCTGACTGCTGCTATCTATATAGTCAGTCAACTATTCCTAAATTCCAGTGAAGCAGTATTTGAATATGGGCCAGCAAAAATTTTAGTCACATCTGCTTCCTCTATCTTTCTTCTCCTCTGTCAGTACTTCACTAACACTGAATTGATGAAAAGCTGTAAAAGACCTAAGAATATAAAGTCTGGCTACTATGATTTGATTCCTGTCCCAGTCTTATGCAAACATTCTACCACACTTCCCTCTTTGTCACCATGTCTTGGAGAGAAATCCAGTCATGCTGATTAACATCCTGGGGAAGGCAGAAGCAATTCAGAAGTAGAATTTGAAATAAATTCTGAAGTAAATCCCTTTTGTAAATTATCTGCCCTTCAGTGCCCATAATGAATCAATTTTCCTGGAAAACCTCTAAATCCAAGAAGCCAATAGAGGCCAATGGAAAAATACAATGTTGAAAAGAGCAACCATTAAGAAAAAAGTATTTTATCTCCTCCAGGCACATAGCACAGATTATTTTCCTGTCTCCACTAGTTCTTCTAAAATAAGAAGAAAATCCTGGTACTTTGGAGCAGAAGTAAGAGCTCTAGAAGCTGTTCATCTGGGTGTGACAGAAGTAATTTATACAAAGAAACAAAACCAATTATCTAGATATAAGTAATTCATATTGTCTCACAACTGCATAATCCATTTTAATTTTCACTTCAATGAAATTTTCAACAAAAGCACCTGAACATCTGAAGATTTTAGCAGCAAGTTCCTTAGAGAAGTGTAGTACTCAGATGGAAGTACACAGTCTTCAGTGTAACAGATATTTAATCTAAGTGATCCCAAATCATCAGTTTTAGAAGACTTGTTCCCATTTTCTCTTGGCTGAAGTAAGTACCTGTAAGCAACAGGGTAATTATAAAATATTAGATACCTATTTCATTCATTTTACTAATTCTATAATAAGAGCAAAGTATCACATTTAACTATTTCAGTGTACATGCACCGTATCTGAAAACTGTCAAAAAATTCACAAAAACCCCCCCTTGAGGTACAAAAGTAAAAACATGAGCAGCATTTAATTAATCTTTAACATATAATGGAACTTATATTTATTTCTCACATCTTTGTAAACAGTAAAACAGGGTATACTTTTTGTAGGTTAACAGGGAGTAGCAGGAATAGTTTGAGATTACACTGGGCCATCTCATTTTACATCTAGGTTATATTTAGGGTGTTGGACACTGCAGGTGAAACAGGTAATGTGAAGAGTTGAAATGGTCTTGTCTGAGACCAGAAAAAGTACATAATATTAACAGGCTCCACTCTTGAGAAACATGATATAGGGAAAACGCAGATTTTTTTCCTACTCTGAATACAAAATACATTGAACAATTCACTGCCTGCAGGTTCACTGCATTCCAATAGGAAGTGCAGCCCTACAAAAATGTTAACAGCTTTTAAGTGGTGTCACAGTAGTTTTAACACCCACCCCAACAAATTGAAACCCCATCTCCAAATATTCTTTTACAGTCATGTATATTTGGACTTCTACAACCAGGAGATCAGACTTTTTTTTTTTTTCATAATCAGATGCAGTGCCCATGAAGGTATGCTAACATAAAATAAAACTAATTTACCAGGGAAACCTCTCCTTAACAGCATGACTCTTAAGCTTATTTTCCAAATATTCAGTAGTATAGATAATTTCTCTGCTGTACTTCAGCTGCATTCGAAACCATATCACACAAATTAGCAATAGTATAAAAGATTTATTTTTGATCACAGAACTGTTTTTGATAAGCAGATCATACTTGGATATGAGGATGTTCAATGCAAGGTGTGAATACAATGTATATTAGCAGACACACTCCAGAGAACTAGACATGAGTTAGGTCAAGTCAAAAAGCTACACAAACACAGCTCACTGGCAATGAGCCCATGCTGATACAATCTTTCTCAGCAGATTGTTAACAGAGGCCTGTTTTTATGCTAACAGGGTCACACAGCTGTTGGTGAGACACTGGCAGAACAAGCCCTTGACACCGTGCAAAAAAACCAGAAACACAAACACCTACAGGATCACATTCAAGCACCAAGAGTCTGAGTTCAACATCCAAGACACTTGGAGCCTGAGGTGGGTGCATGGAGCAGAGCCATCCTGGCCAAGACCTGTGTCACATTTAATTCCTATTTACACGTCCTTCCCATGTGTTTTCTGTGTGGATATGAAAGCGCTTCCTCCATGCTTTTTCCTGTACTGAAAGGTTCACTAAAAGCAGAACATTTTACACACTTGGAGGTACTCAAACCCCTTACACTCATCCCTTCCTGCTGCTAAGCATTTGGGACAGCAAAGGAGCTAGAGAAGGGCTCCTGCTTCCAACAACATCAGAAAGGAGGGTGCTGAGATGTCCCACACAGAAATGTCTCTTTCCTGAACCCGCTAGCTCTGTGCCTGCTCCCCTGATATGATGTTGGGTTTGTTCTAGAAGATACTCCTGGAGTCTCCCCAAGGAAGGAAAAAAAACATACTTAATGATCAAATAAACTCTCTATCAGTGATTCTGGAAGTCTGACGTAGGAATTTAACAAGTGATGCATTCTGAGAAGCTCCAGGTTTGCTGGGTAGGCTGAAGAGCACACAGAGATCACTGAAACCCAGCAACCTGACCAAAAGACAGTCACAGTCCATCTTCCCTTCAAACACACCAACTATTCTGTGACTACGTGCAGACATGGGGAAGAGCAGAGCTAAATGTACCTGCTGACAACGTTAATTTATTGAGCAGGGAAAATCTAGCAATATGTTTCACCTAGATTAGAACAGGAAGACACAGTTTAATGAATAGGTAGAATAAAACATATCCTTTGCAGAAAAAAAAAAATAAAAGTGCAAGACAAGCAAATTCACTTCCGAATCACCATTTCTCACCATGCTTGAAAGGAATCATTTCTTAACACCTTCACAGGAACTTTAATTTCTCCTAGAAAGATGTCTTGTACGAGATTCCCATTATTCCATAGGTCAACCCTGAAAACAAGAACATTGCTTAATTTTCTTTTCTCTCAGAGAGAAATAGGCAAGTTTACAATAACTGCCTTACAGCACTAATCCACATGCATGCAGGCAGCAAATGTTAGAAATCTCACTCCATTCTAAATAAATCAAGAAGACTCAAACAAGTGGCTTATTAATCCATGAAGAACAGATAAAGAAACAAACAGTGAAAAGTTAAGACTTGCAGACCTTGCATCAGTAAATAAAAGTGATACTGGCACAATGTACGGGTTCTGCGCAGTCTCCACCCCCAAAACTGTGCACATTTCTTCTCAGGTAATTCAAGTGAACTTTTTAACCAATATATTTAAATATCTACCTAACTGCTAGAACCTGGGACACTGCAATGCCACACCAACACATGCGCTTGCTTCTCCAAGCAGCAGCTCGAACGCTTACAACCTCCAACGGAATCCGGCTCCACACATGCACCCTGCGTTTGCTCTATGACTTCTTACCTCTCTGACATTTCTGACAGACAGCAGTTGTTAAGAACAAAAAAAAAAAAAAAACCAAAAAAAAAAGACAACTAGATTTGTTGGGGCATGACTATTTTTCTAAATATATTTTCATCTACAATTAAATATATAGTTCTAAATAATGAAGCTAGTAGTTAAAAACACACATACCAAGTTAGTTCTATAATGGCTATTGGAAGTAACTGCTAAATTTTTCTTCTGATGCCTGTTAGGAAATATATGCTGGCCTTGAAGACTTTCTGTCATTCAGCAAATTTGGTGCACGTACGTGCAGAAGCACAATAAAGAAAAGAAACTGAGTACAGGGCTCTCTGCAGTTCTAACTACATTGCATAAATACAGAAAGACCTGCTCTGAGGGTAAAGCAGCAGAAGAGGGGAACACACTTTGAGTATTTTGTTTGCAAGGAAAAGATGAAAGACAACTGCTCCTCTAAAAAGCAAAGTGAAATTTTAAGAGTCTCATAAAAGAGGGTTTCTCCTTTTTTTTTCTTTTTTAATTAAACCAGCCAACTATATTTAAAAATATAGACTAGGATCAAGTATGCTTGTATCTTTCAGTACAAATTTTATTACCAATACTCTGCCCAAATAAATACAATTTGATTTTACTTTACTCACAGGCCCAGGAAATTTGTTTAGGCTGCTAGATACACTTAACCACTATTTACTTCAAAACAAAAAAACTCATCTTCAGTAAGAAATACAAGTAAAAAAAAAAGAAATTTTCTACGTCATCTTTTCTACAAGTCTAATGAGTAATTCTATGGAGCTACACTAAGATAAAACAGGTATTTATTGTCTTGATGATAAAATATTATGATTAATGATTCTATGAAATCACTTTCTAATCCACATAACTTACCTGACTTCTAGTTTCTCAATATCTTCTTCTTCCACCTGAAACTGGGACTTTTTGGTGTAACTGCTGGACCTGGTTACCTGCAAGTAAATTCCTCCTATTACACATTTTTTTGTATTATGGATATCAAAAATCAAAGAAAATCCTCCCTGCCTCTAGCATAGGTAAATAGCTACTGTTCCTTACACAAAGGAAAAAGGTCAGTTGACCAAACAAACTGCCTTTTTCCAGAAAGCAGGAGAAAAATGGGTCAAGAAGGGTTCATGGTGGAACCTACTGAAGGCTGATAAATGAGGGAATTACAGTATATATCTATTAGAAAAAACAAGTAGTATGACATGAAACTGGCAATTTTGTTTTTCTTTTAGCATGAGCCTTATGAAAGCATTGAAGTCAGTTCTGAAATGTTTAAAGAAACTACAAATAGGAAGCCCACTCTTCTTGCCCTAGTTACAACACAATTGTAACCTCTCATCTACACTTTCCTCATTTCTTGACTGACTGCATTCTCAATTTAACTTCAATAAATCATAAGTCAAAAAGTCACCAGAGTGGCTTGGATCACATTTTATCCTAATATCTAACTTCATAAGAAATCACACTCAGTATTCTTGAGCAAGTCAGCTGAGACACACACATGCACTGGAACTGTGCATAGGTATGAAACTATTTCCCACTCAAGCCCCACAGCAGCATTTACAAAAACAGTAAATTATAATGCATTTGAGGCACATGCAATAGCTGTACTCCTTCCAGCTCTCAGTACTGCACACTTTAAATGCAAATCTGATTTTTATTACTGACACAAATCGGATGAAAATTTAAACTCAGTTTCTTTGTCAGATAACACATGTAGAATTGAAATCAACTCCTAAATAACAACGAAGTTAACTTTTTAAAATAAAATAAACTTTTTTGGGTATAAGCACTATATTACTTTATTAAATAAGTAAGTTATTTGAGTTTTTTAGGTCATGTTTGAAAATATTTAAATAGAAGTCCATGGGATAGGTTAAAGTTACCTCAGAGCTCCAGATGGCAACAGATGATATATAAAGTGATTCAAGATAGGGAATTACCTTCATATATGTGCTTGTGAGAAAGTAATTTCTCACACAGTAACTGAAGGGGAATGCTTTTATCACACAGAAATTCAAGTATGTCATCCACTTACATTTGATAGGCCACTTAAAGCTCTTCAATTTGCCTCAAGAGAGCTTTCTGTATTAGGTATTGCTATGCAGCTTGCTTAAAAATACCTGAAGGGTTGCATAAAATAGATAAACAAGAAGAACAGCACACAAAAAGTTACCTCAAAATAAAATGTTTCATTAAACTGCGGATTGCTTGTTTTCTTCTTAACTTTGGTCTTCTTTTGGTCATTCCTGTTCCAATGTGGTAAAATTTTTACCATAGACAACTTAAACACACAATTATAAAGACATTCTATTGTCAAGAAGGACACATGCATTTAAGTTAAAACATTTTTTGTTATTTTACAATTCACTTTGATCAATGAGGAAAATCTTAAAATTAGCTGACCTTCACAATACAGTTAAAAGAACTAATATTTTAAATGCTGTATGTAGCTAACCATGCATCTATCCAACTCAAAGGTTGTATTTAATTTCACAAACAGGTAAAACTTACAAATTAATTAAAATACATGAACAATTTCTAATGCATTTAAAATTTAAATTTCTTTACCACTGCCTGAAGGTAATGAGCACACTTTTCCTTGTCTTGTTCAACTGCAGTTTCTGTTTTTCCCACCCTCTTTTGCTGCTGAAATACCCACTACTTCTTTACAGACAGGGGTTTATACCCAAGACAATGAAGGTTTTCTTTGAAAACAACTGCCGCTCATGTTAGATATGAAGCAACACAGGGTCAAACAAAACAACTGCCCCCACTTCCTTGTGGGTTGGTTTTGGTTTTTTGGGGTTTTTTTTAATTTTACAATTTTTATAAAGGAATACAGTTTTATTTACTTATTTATTTAGCAAATGGCTGTGGTAGTATAAAATGGCTTTCCAAAAGAAAGAAAAATAAAATACGTGAGAAAAACAGACAAGGGAGAAGAAAAACTGCCCTAAGTATCTACTACCTATTTTCAGGCACTGGACACATAAATATTCCAGTACATGAGTCACACATGCATAAGATTGGAAAATCTCAACCAGGAATTCCTGTCAGATTTGCACATATATTCCCATATTAACAGGGTAAATATTTTGTGGGACCAACATTCTCACACTTCCATCCACATCACAGGACACAAACAGAAAATATATGTCAATTTACCTTCTTTGCCATTTGGCCCCATGATTCCTAAGTATAATGGGTGAGCCTCCCTAGTCCTCTTAGAAAAAACCCAAACAAACAGAAAACCCCCCAAGCCAAACCTAAAAAATATGATGTTTTATTACCAAGGAGGAAAAAAAATGCTCCATGCAGAGCTTATTCAGGGCCAATCCTTCCACAGTCTTTAAGCCAAGCAAGTCTGGTACAACACATCCTGGCACTATGCTCACAAAGGCAATTCCTCAGCACAGGAGAAAGGAAAGGGTCTGATGTGGCAAAAAAGAAGCAACTGAAACTTATCCTCCTTATTGGGCAGGGACTTGCACATAGTGAATGTGTGGGATGGGGGATTTTTCTTAAATGAAAAAATCCAGCAGTTACTGAGGATTACTGATCCCAAACAAGGAGATGTTTGAACTGCGTGGACTTTGAACACAGCATCCTGAAGGTGTTCCAGAACCTCTCCTCTCTCGTCTCCTCCCAATTACTACACATTTGCTGCAAAGAAACCCACACATGAAGAAAAACAGAGAAGATATAACAGGAAGGTGAGTGAGCAACTGCCTGTATCACAACATACAGGAATTTTACATAGATTAGCAGGAAGTTCAGTGCAGAAATGCAATACAAAACATAAGGGAGAACTGAGTTTTAAGTGGCTCTTGACTAGTGCAGACAATGCAGACAGACCAAACACCATCCCAGTCTGGAGCATATGGCAGGGAAGGAAGAGAACAGTATCCATGGAGATGTGATGTATGCATGAGAGCACTGGAAGATTTTTCTGTCATTTAAAGATTTTGCTTAAAACCTATGACTTTCTTTTCCAATTCAACATCACAGCATTTTAAGATTTATTCATTTTATACTAAAATGTTACCTGGAAGGCCCCACAAGAGAGACTGTTGCATAAGGATCACAATTCTGTCCATTTATAAGAGGCAACCCATGGCATTCCTTTATGCTACAAGGAAAAGGCAAACAATAGATCAGTGAAGCAATTATTTGGCTTGAAAAATAAAATCCAAACAATGCTTTCTTTTTGAAAACTTTTTATGTCCTGCTGTATTACACAGATATAGCTACACACTAATCTAACACACTGCATGTACTTGAAGAAGACTCTAGATGGTAACACAAAATAATACTCAAGTATACAGTCAGACTTGGAGGGCTCTGTGAGAACAAAACTGTTAGAATTGCTTTGGTAAAGACACTCCAGTATCACACATGAATGACAAAATCCTAAGTAAAATGAACTGATATATTTTAGGAAAAATTGCAGATTTCATTAATTTAAATTTGATTTCTCAAGGCCCACACAAAGCTGTCTGGCCTCCACCAATGGCAGCAACTATATCTGGAAGGCATTGAAATGGATGAAAATATTTCATTTTGGATAAATTACATTCTGAGTTATGCTAAGAAATGCAAAGTCAAATCCTGAAAGGATATTTAAAATTAAACATCCAAAACTATTACAGTATATAGTTCTAGCTCTATCTTTGAAATAGTGCCTAAGGTTTATTTTCAATCTTTCTTCACAATAGTCCATGTTCAGGGTTAAATGGCCCTCTTAAAAATACTGTTTTCTTCCATAATTCATACAGTAAGTGGTAAACTGGTGTTCAACAGGTACACAGGCACACTGTTCACCAGTTCTGATGCAAAAGGGACAGGATGCTAATGCATCATGGAGACAGAGAAACCTTTTCTGGACCTTTTCTAAAGTCTTGCAATCTTTGAATCACCACAGCAGCAACACAGAGCTGGGTCAGCAAGCTGCCTAACCTTCAGATGCTGCCCACACATAAGCATTAACTAAAAAAAGCTGGAACAGCAAAAGTGAAGCGGAAGAATTTGTAAATTCATAGCAGAAATCAGACTTTCTAGCAAAATGATAATCTAATGTAACCATACACACTGTCATTTAAGTCCAGAAACATTCCACAGATTACAAAATTTCACAAGATCTGAATGTTGTATTCCTGTTCTCTATAAAATAATGTATTTTTTAAATGTATTGCAGGAATTTAACTAAATTAATGCAAGAAAGTTTCAATTGTCATAATTTGCTAGTTTGAAAAAAATCCAAAACCCAGGCAACTTAAGGAGAAAATAACTTCTCTAAATTTCTGTGAACAATTAAGTAAATGTTCTAATATCATAATGTGGAATAATAAGTTGTGTAGATCAAGTAGAAATTATGTAGCTGCACACATTTTAAAATAAATGCTTTAGGTACTGTAGAAAAATGGTGTTAAAAGAATAATAGGAGCTGCAAATTCAAACACAAGAGTGGAAACAACAGACACTAACACTCCTCTGCTGCCTCAAAACTCCACCCTCTTTGGAGTATGCACAATTATAAACCAGATGGTATTTCCCCCCCCCCCCAAAAGTCCCTTTGTCTTAGCCAGCTCAGGGAACATTTAGTGCTGAACCACTGCACAATCATTTGTTATTTTTCTTCCAGTTATCAAGCACGTGGCCTTCAGCATTTCAATAATTTTTGAATCACAATGAACGCTACAGTGATTTCAAACCCACCATTTAAATGGGTTCTTCAAACATCCAGTTGTTTCATAAGCATTAATTGATTCCTCCTCCAACATATAAGTGGCACAGAAGAGTGGCAACAAAAGTAAACTGTCTGGACTTTTCAGTCATTGGGGTTCTGACCTGAGGCAGGACTCGACTCTTTCAAACTGAGTGGCATCCTGTAGCATAAAACACCCCCTGCAGCTCCTCAGGCTTTGCAATTTCAGGTACCTATAAACCAGCTGCAATCTGAACCTCATAGGAAATTCATAGCAGATGGATCAGTCAACCTTACCTGAAGAGCATTCAGCTGTTTTAACAAGAACACTACGATTTCTCTTCTAACAGTCTTTGACATGATCACCAAGCTCCTGAATTTCTCTAGCAAACAGGTACAGGTCTGTGGGACTTTCAGTTACACAGCTTGTTCTGTTCTCTTGACCACAACATAGACAAACTAAAGAAAGGCTTGTTTGTGATTTCCTGCAAGTTGAAAAACATTTTACTGACAACTTCACAGCCTTGCAGCAGAATGAGAATCTCTGGATTCATCATATGGATCTGTCACTTCAAGCTGATTTCATGCTCCAGCTGGTCTCCCTGTGGAGGCAGCTCTAGCATTCCATTTTCGCCTCCTGTCCAAGCTCCAGCTCTGCTGCCAGCAAGTACAGTCTTCCTAGTTTATCAGACAGCCTGTCCTGGTCCAACACCTCCCCTGACCATCAGCTCCTCATGTCCCCAAATCTCTTCCTTCCACACCTATCAGGCACAAAAATTTCTTCCAAATTTACTTCACCTCCTCCCCTTCCATCTCTCACTCCAAGGTAGCCAGTCAGATCCACCCCTTCAGTCTGCAGGTATGTAATTTAATGACTGCCTGAATCTGCTTTAAACACATATGTGACAGCACAGCCAAGTCAGCTGAACTGCTGCTTCTGTTTACTACCCTGACAGGAAGCTTTTAACCTAAAAGCCAGTTGTCAGTTTGGCAAATTGAATCACCCTGTTCATGCAGGAGCCCTCCCATGCTCCAAAGGCAAGCAGCCTTTAGGGATAGGAAGCCATTATATCAACTCAGCACTACTGAGCTGGATTGTTCCTCCCCAGGGACTGAGCACACTGCACTGAATCATTACTGAGACTTTTAAGCTACTAAACAAACAGCCTCCTTAAACATGTTTAAAAATCCTGAAGATGTTTGAAGTGGCTAGACTAGAGTAGACTTAACAGAAATGGAAAAGTTGGAATGAAAATGAATGGAATGAGAAAAACCTCACTCAGTTTGCTAGTCAGCAAATTTCATACGAATATTGCCTTTCCTCAAAGAATCAGGCAAAGTGCTGCAACTGCAATCTCCTTTAAAAGGAAAACAACAACCAAGAAATCGCAGCAAAACCACCACCAGCAAAATGCCAGATATTTTGACCAATCAAAAACAAAAATAACATTAAATATACACTCCTATTCCAACAACAACAAAAATACATTTCTAACACGCAATAAAAATATTTCAGCTTTGACAAATCATTTCATCTACCTAGCTCGGCAGGTGTCAATCAAAAGGCATAAATGCATACAGTTTGAAGAAGTAGACAGGAACTTAGAAGCCTTTTATTATATATTTTAGACTTCTACATCCTTGTGTGCCGCCTAAGCAACAGGTAACAGAACTTTGGTTCTCTTCTCCAACTGCTGCCCTGTTTCAGTACGGTGTAAGACATGATTCAGTTTTCATTAATTCTCATCTCAGTAGTTTGTTGTGCAAGAGGAGTTTCATACAGGAAATGAGAGCCTTTCAGATATAACCAGCATATATTCAGCTTAGAAGATGAAAATAAGCCTTAAAAAGACCCAGCCCACAATTAACCCCCTCAATGACTGACTCTACCTCCATCATTCAAATAAACTGAAGTTCTCCATGGGCAGACACTCCCTAACTGCAGCCATTAATATCTGTATGTACACTTCATAAAAATTGCTGTGTTTGCTAGAACAGCTTCATGTGAGCAGAAAAAGAATAAACAGGACAGTAACAAACTGACAGGTCAATCAGAGAGCATGGTATACAATTCATTTAGAAAGGTATGTGCAATGAAGTCAAAATCTGGCTGTAATAAACCATTTCAGGGCTTTGAAGTATTCACACTGTAAAGAGACAAAACCTTCTTTCAGAGCTGAAGGGCTGTTGATCCCAGAGAAGGCAGGTGCCACCACTCAATTGCCTAATTTGCCAAGAAACTGGTCAAGCATCATCTATTTCAGCAGCAGCAAATATGCAAACAATGGGCATGCAAACTTGTTCTTAGGGACTCCCAGCAAGAGCTGCAAGCATGTATCTGTGAAATGTGCTACTATACACACCATTGTGGTTTCAAAAAAAACCAACCCACACTGCGTCAGCAGGTAATCTCTTGCACTTTTCCCCCTCCTCATTCACGCATTAGGAAAGGAAGCAATTCATATCAGAGACAAAACAAAGCTTTAATTCACAGTCTGTGAGTCTATCTGCATGAAACTTAGCAGCAAGCTGCAATTAATACAAAAATCATGAGTGAAATCAGGGTTTAGCCTGCTCTACATGAGCTCGAAGACAGTCCTTCACCAAACAAAGATTAACTATGCTTTACGACAAACTGGAATTGAGTTTTTAAATCAATCCTAATCATAAAAATCATCTAGAAGACCAGCAGAAAAAGCTTCTACAGCCATGTTTACAGACCCAAATCAACAGGAATCCATTGCCTAGCCAGTCACGGTTTTGGTTTAGCCACAAGGTGACAGGGGACTCCAGGTAATGCTCAGAATCACAGCCTTTTAATTACCTGCTATTGTGTGTGCACTTAACACCACGTTTCATCTTGTGTAATGAAAGTTGGAGGTACTATTTTTCACCTTTGTAGAATTTCTGACCTCTCAGGGAATAACAGCGGAAATCCATTACCAACTTAACTATGCACAGAAGCCAGCACAAGTATCTAGAATTCTCCTATCCTAGAAAAAAAATTAACTGGTGAAAGTTTAAAAGCATCTAATTCTCACTGCATTGAGACACCATTAATTTGAACAAGAAGTAAAATATTGCTCCTGAAAGGCAAGTATCATAGCCTGCATGTCAAGAATTATTTTTTCTGTGATTTTTTTTCCCTTTGGACATTATTTTTCAGTTTAGAACAGATAAAGAAGAGTCAGAAACAGACACATAAATAGATTTGTGCCCACTCCTTGTCTCTCTTTTACTCTATCATGGCTCTGCTCCTTTCTATCTTTCAGCTTTGTTAAAGGACTTACTAAGTCAGTATCTTCTCAGGGCCTGGTGACCAGCGAAAAACACA